GCATATCGAATGCTTAGTTGCTTACTACAAATACATAGAGGCAAAACCTCCTCAAAAACAACAAGCATCAAATGCTCAACAGAGGCAAATCCTCACAAGATACAAGAAGCATCAAATGCTAAATCAAGGTTATGGGACCTAGGAAAAGGCAATGATAATAGTCACTACATAACATATAAGAGGTAAATCCTTGATAGAAATATGATAAAGCGAATACGGTGGCTATGACTCGACCATTGGAAAATCCACCTTAGACCATGGTCAATGCTAAACAAAATAGAGACAAAAATGTAGAAGTGACATTGTCATTGCATAGACGATGACAAGCAGAAAATCTGTAATATACAAAACAAATAACGACGACAGTNACTATTAATAAAATCAGAGACACTCTTTCCATGAGAAAGAGAAAATTTGATCATGGTTGCTATAAAAAGAAGCAGCTACACTCACTATATATAAAGAAGAAGCTGCGGCTACTATGTAAAAATTGGCTATGGTTGATATGAAAGAATTTGTTATCACTGCAAGAGAAGCGATAACAATCGCCAAAGAAAATTAATGACTAATGTTGTTTACGAATAAAAATAGTAACAACGGCCACTAGAAGAAATAATCTAGGGGGCAACGATCTCAAGAACGAGAGATGGTCACGACCGATGAAAATTAATGATTACGATCATTACAAAAAATCAGAGGCGACGCCTCCCAAGAAAGAGAAGTGATGATGATCACTTACATGAAAAATAGAGGCAAAGCCCTAAGAAACGAAGCATCGAATGTTCATGAAGCATGACCTCCAGATAAATGAAAACTAAAAACTACAGTTTAGTTTTTCAGAGAAGTTGTGACAATGATCACTACTAAAAAAATTGAAGGCAAGACCTTTGCTTGAAAGCCATGTTCAATGCCAAAGCCATGTTCAATGCCAAAAGCATAAGCAACACCTCCTAAAAGCGTGGAAAAAAGTAACCATGACTAATTTCGTTGGTATAGATCGCTGTGACCACTGTCGTCGAAAGGCTCGGTCTCAATGAAAATATAGTAAAGTGACTATGGTTGCTAATAACTGACCCTAAAAAATGATGCCAGAAAACAATGCCAAATCAAAAGGGTAACATCATTAGAAAAATATACTAGGTTAAAATGTCAAACATCAGACATTTGCGTTCGGTTACACACCACTTACAAGCGAAAACGACTATATTCGTCATTGAAAAAAATATCTGAAATAAAACTTCCTAAGAAGGAGAACAGAGTCACTGTCTCTTAAGAGAGAGAGAGAGGGAGTAGTAACAATCACTACCAGAAATCGAAGGCATAGCTGATAAAAGGTTTTTTTCCTCCCAAGCTATGATTCCAAACGTAGAATCACTAATTCGATGTAGAATAGTGAGGTTCGTTCAAAGGGACCAGCAATACACTCAAATATGTAAATACGGTGTAAGCAATGATAATGAAGACGTTAGGCTAAGGGAGAATATCTTAGGGATTAGAT